TAGGGAGGGATTAGGTAGAGACCAACAGTCCTCTACAGCTCCATATCTCCTTGTAATGTGTCACACCCATATTCTGTTTTTCTTTGAAGTATTCTACATTATGGAAGATAAAGATGCCTTAACAGCCATTTTACGGTGACTTAACAAGTAACTTCAGTTGTTGTATTAAAGAGACATAAACCATTCCTAAACAATACACCTTCCCTTCACTCCTTGGAGGAATAAATCTCTCCAACCCTCTGGTAGGCTGTCCTTCGGGTCCAGCCAATCACCATCTTCCACCTTTTAAAAACTCTGATCAAGTGTGTTGGCTATTCTAAAACAGCCTAAAAGGAAAGTAATTTAATTCACTGGGGTAACACTGTCTTGGACCCAGCCATCTGAGCCGGGACTGAGTCACGATAACACATTCCTTCTCACAAGCAGAGCTGTATACAGCCTCTCAAACATGCCACAGTCTGCTGTAGAGTGCCTGCAGGAGCACAGACGCAGCAATAAATATCCACTCCAGGTGACATGCATCTATTTCTCACAGTAACTTTATAACTCACCCTACTGCCACTTTGCTCCACTGTCGGGTCGGTAGAGTTATCAGAGTCTCCCAGGCAGCTGAGATCACCTGCTCCAGGCTGTTTTGGCTGTTCTGGCTCTGATATGATTGCTGAAAGTTTGGCAGGCTGATATACTGCAGAATCTGCTCTGGCAGGTCTGGGCTGCCATTGTAGAAATAGCCAACAGCTAAGGCCAGCAGGGCCGCTGCTGAAGCCTTCCTCCACATGATGCTCCCACACACTCCTACAGCGAAGGAAATCAGTCAGTTCTCTCTCATATCAACCATTAGCATTTCAAAGTGATCAACTTATTGACTGGTAATTAAAGAGCTGCATAGCAATGTTCAGTGTTCAAACACGTGACACACACACACAACTGTGTTCCACTGTTCTTGATTATACAAGAACAAACTCATCATATCTGTAAAAGAAAACCTTTACCTAATTTTGTTTGTCTAAACTTGCAGCTCGCATGGAATAATTAACTCATTTTAAGAAGGATAACATCACATGGAATAATCGCATGGAATAATTAACTCATTTTAAGAAGGATAACATCACATTGGCATATGATTTGGCTGAACCAATAATATTGAATTACAGGTGTTTGGATTAGATGATTAGATTGAGGAGTTAATTAATCAATCAAAAGAAAATTAATCATCAACTATTGACATTTGAATATTTTGAAAAGAAGAGAGAAAGAAATTACGCCCAAAAGTTAATAGTTCCAGGTTCTTAAATGGGAGAATATTCTACTTTTCTTGTTTTTACATCATAATAAATTAAATATCTTCTGTAAGTCAGTCAAATAAAAGACATTTGATGATGTCACCTTGTGTCCTTGGATAATGTAATGGCTATTATTTCGTTTTCTGCTGTTTTATACACCAAAAGATTCAACAAAACAATAGTTGGCAGATTATTATATATAATGAAAATAATCATTAGTTGCAGCCCTAGTTTGAATCAGTAAATTAGGGAAGTGTTTAGCAGAGGTGCTAAACCACCCGGATCCTGATTCTCCTCGTCCTATTCATCTGCTGGTTATTTTCTAAATAATTGCTTGGTCAATAAAACATCAGAAAACTGTGAAAAATACCATCACAATCTCCTTGGGCTCAATCATCAAGTGTGAATCAAGTGGTTCCTCTTGTCTTACTACCAGTCCAAATCCCTATAATGTTACATTTAGTACCAAGAAAAGCAGTAAATCTTCACATCTGTGAACCTTGAACAATCAAATGTTGGCATATTTGCCTGAAAAATGACTTATATGATTATAAAAATATGAGAAAAAAGCAGACTTTCTTTCAAATGACTTTGACCCTAAATGAATCATACAGTACAGGATCCCCCAAAGTGAATGAATGAGGTAGAGAGAATATATAAGTACAATTTATAGAGTTTTAATTGTACAAAAACAACAAGTATATCCAACTCTCCTTGCAGATAATCTCATTGTCTTTCGCCCAGTTGGTGAGCTCGACATTTACACCTGGATGACAGGGCATGTTCAAAAGTTAGTGTTGGTGTTCCCTCATACTGCCCAGGAGTACAGGAATAACCACAGCAAGAGCCACTGCCCTGGAGGCTGCAACGACGCTGCGTACTCTTTATGGTACAGAATACAGGGGTTAAGTTACTGCTAACGTGGACACACACACACACACACACACACACACACACACACACACACACACACACACACACACACACACAAGCTAACATGCTAGCATCAGCACACAGGGTCTGCAGTCTATCAAAGCTAATCTGACAGTAGCAAGTAGCTTCTAGCTCGGCTTAGCGAGACATCTCATTAAGAGACGAGCCTGACAGCCAAGTACTTTAATACACCTTAATTAACAGCTTTCATTAAAATCTTCATGTTTGTTAGCGGCACGTACCGATAATGTGCAGGCTTCAAGTTTGTTAGTCAGGAAGAGGATCCTGTTCCCTGGTAAATCACATACAGAGCATTTATTTTGCTGAATACTGCCGGTGGAGGGAGAAGTAACTGAGGAAGTCAGAGTCATTGAAGAAGCAATGATTGGGAAAGACAGCAGCAGGAGACCGCCAGCACACAGCAGCAGCAGCGGCTTCCGTCTACCGCTCCGCGCATGCGCTACTACAGGGTACATTCGGGAGGCGACGTCATGACCCGCCCTACTCGGGCTCTGATTGGCTGGTACCTCAAGGGGTTTGGTTGGTCAGGTTTAGACGAGCCAATCAGAGGCCGAGTAGCGCCGTGTCTTCCAGCAAGGCGAGTCCGGGTACATTCATGGTACAGACTGTGAAGAACAGAGCTGAAGGGTAAACACATGGGTTAAATAAAGACTGAAAGTGAAAAGGTACTTGGATTTTTAAAGGTTATATATATACTTATTAAAAAAATACATCTGTGGTTTCAAATGCGTCTGTTTTAACTCGGAATTCCTGGAAATCATTAAGTGTAAGTTAATGATCCTGGTGAGATATTAAACAAAGATTTTACAAAGTTTGCAGAATCAGTGACATCTTTTAAATCACTTTTCAAAACTTATCTGTTAGATATTTTAAAAAAGCTGTTCATTAATGCTAGCATACCGCTTTTTATTATTTTATTATATTTTCATTTCAATCAATTAGTGGGATTTAATTTGCCTCATTGCAGTTGTACAATGTTTTAATCCTGTTCAACCACATAAAGCACCCTGTAACTTTGTTTTGAAAGGGGCTATATGAATTATTATTATTTTTTTTTATCATTATAGTACACTGCTTTACTGCTCAACTGTTATGGGCCTTCAGTTAACACCTAGATTCATTGTCTGGGGGGCTCTGGGGAAAAAAGAAGTCCCCTGTGGGTATACCATAAACCAGGTTTCCATCCGAATGTGTCGAGAATTTGAACCAAATTTCCAGGAAATCTGTGCAAGAAAACACAAATGTATACGCATGTTCATCCACTACAGTTGTGTTAATATTAGGAGTCGGTCAACATACACAAAGATGCTAATTGTCCAGTCAGGTGCCATCATACCACTGCAGAAGAAGAGAGCACCATTTAAACCTCAAATGGTGGGGGGAAAAAATGTAGAAAACATGATGGAAATATGATATTTATGTTGGTTTCATGTATTCATAAAGATGTTTACAGTCTTCCCTTCACTCTCCAAATCCTAACTCTCCAGTCGTCTTCCACAGCCTCTCTCTATATCTAACAACACATCCACATGATCAGTTTATACCTCACGAAGAATATCACTTCATACTGCTGTCTTCTGTGGTTCTGTAGGAAACTAAAATGGGAGGAAATGATGTTCATCAGGGTTATTTGGGGTTTGGGGTTGGTGATTATGTATTATTTAACAGAAAGCATTTGTTACAAGCTGGAAATGTGGAAATTCAAAGGTGTGGACAGGGAAGGTCTAAATAAAAGGTACCATTGAGCTGCATTATGGTAAATGTAGGATAAATAAAAAAAGATTAAAGTGAAACATTATCTTTCATAGCTTTGGAGGAATTTAAATCTTTGAGGCTAATATATGTGACACGTTATTTGTAATTAGCACTAGCTATATTATTACTGTATTTTACAAGTACTTACTTCATGACTCTTTTAGACACATTATTGAAGATTTTCTTACTCACTTCTAGATATTGATCACTAATAACTAACTCCTGACACAGCATCCAGAAAATTCTGGCTTAAATTTGTTCCTTTTTCAGAGTGAACAGGTCCAAACAGGTCTTGAAATGTACCAACGGAGGCGATTTAGAACACCACTAAACCACAACCAAATAACACAATTAAAGACTTAACTGCTTTCTTCCCGTCTTTTCTCCCTCAGGCAAATATGCATGAATGTTCTGCTTGTTGCTACTTGTAAACCATTTTGCTGGAGGCTGAGGTGAGGCATGGCAGCTGTAGAGAAAACTGACACCTTTAACACTTGCATACTGTATGAAGAAATACATCTGAAGTGTCAGTTATACTGAAATTATCCGTTAATATTCAAAATAAATGACCCCAGTCAAATTCAATGCTACACTATTTTTTTTTCCTTCTGTATATTTATGTCAAGAAACAGGAGGATCTAGCACAAGACGTGTTTGGGTGTCTTGCTTTGTGTGCTATAGGTTTTAAGGGGGTCTTATAGGGAAAAAGATGATGATTTAGCATCTTTTGTGTAATTTATTATAAGACTTAAGTGTAATTTATTTAACACATCACGTAGTTTGTAAATGTTTTTTAAATAAACTGACTGAAGTTGATCAGGAAGTATAAATTATATCTCAGACTACAGCAAATCTATTATTATTGGTCAATAACGTCTTAAATAGCCAATATAAAACCAATCTGTGAAAAGATTGTGTCCAAACGACGCCTTAATTTCTCAAACAGAAGAATGTTGATCATCTTGTTCAACAGCTCAGGTTTAAATAGAGAATTCACGCAGGGTAAGATATGTTTGATTCTTTATTATAATTTCATTATAAACAAGATGTTATAAAACTACACCAACTAAAAAACTATTTGTTTACACATAAAAAATGCTTCAAAATACCACAGCAACAATATTTGACCGAAGGTGAATGAAAATAGGCAACAATATGGCTAAAACGAATAAAAGACACTTTTGCATGTGGCCACATCTTCATTAAAATTATGTTACCTTCACGACTAAAAGCACAAACACATATTAACAGAACAAAGTTTAAAGATGGGTTTTGGTGTTTGGCCTCAGTATTAGATTCTCAAAGGGCAGTATAATGTTGAACAGCACGATAGGAGGAGTAAAACAAAGCAGCCGCTGACTTTAGACAAAAGAATCCTCCAAATGACCTATTTCAGGCTGTTTTGTATGCAGGCGTATGCTTTCATTCCTGTTTGACTGTGCTACATATTCTACTTTAAAACTACTTTTACAAACTATAATTTCAGGCCTCTATAGAAGATGTGGGGTCAGGCTTGGTGAGAGTGGGGGAAGTGAAGCTGACCCGGACGTCCCGAGGGTAAAAACCCTGAAGAACCCCGTCCACAACAATATCTGGGAGATCTGCAAGACAGGGATTCAAAATGACATTACCAAACAACAAAATGGACTGACAAGTGCAGAGTCAAAATGTTGCAGAACACAAAATGCTGTACAGAAGCTGTTCTCTCCTACCTGACGTGCAGTCAGAGAGATAAGGATCCTGAAAAAATCCAAACACTCTCTGATGTGGTAACTCATAACTGAGGGAAAAAGGTAAAAATGTGACTGATTAGTCTTATGCAACATTAAAAAAAAACATTATGTGCACACAAAATACATGCCTGAAGCACAATAAGGAGGTTGGGTGCTGACACAGATGTTTATACAAACAGGACCAAGCCTGTGCTTCGGGGCAACAGTCGAACCAAGACCCTGAGTAGACGAGTGGCCTTTAAGTGCAACACACACTGATCAATTTGTGCAGCGTCATGTAGTTTCATGTGTGTCAAATAACGCCTTTAACACTCCCAGGACAAGATGTACAGATAGAAGAAGTCAATACATATGGTAGTCTGGAGGTGTCAATTTGTAGAGTGACGTCAAGATGTTGCTAGGGAGTCAGCATACATTAAAAAAACAAGACAAGCAGGTTGTTTGACATTTTTGACGCTCATGTTCTTTACAGTGATTTTATTACAGTTTCTTTTAAAGGTTCAGTGTGTAGGATTTAGTGGCATCTAGTGGTTCAATTGCAGATTACAAACCCTACACCTCACCCACCCCGTGTAGGAGAATCTAGGGTGGCCACGGGAATCTCAACAAAAGCTAGGGCCAGTCTTTGGTTTGTCCTGTGTGGGCTACTGTAGAAACATCTTGTGCATAGGGCTCCTCTCTTCCAGTAGTAGGCTACATATACTGTACCGCACAAATATAGAGAGATGGGAAATACTAGTATATCTTACTTGTAATCCTGACTGTCCAATTCCTCAAGTGATCTGAAATTAGAGCACATAACTATTACAGATTTCCAGACATTACAGACACAACAATAATACAGAAACTAACTAATTTCCTTTTGTTTATAAAGTTACAATCAGTTTTTATAAAGACAATAATCCAACTCACCCACATACGTTACACTACTGTACTACTGTACACTACTAGCTGTTATGTCATATATGTTTTTTCAGTCAAAAACAAAGAGTGATCTGATCTATCTGTACATATCATTGTGGGTTAGAGCCAGTGCTGCTGCTCCACACCACTGTGAAAAATGTGTTCAAAGTTTTATTATGTCGCCGCGTTGCCCCCAATCTTTAAAAATAGAGGACCTAAATATAGCAACATATCCAACATCTCCGGGTTCAGTTAGAGGAGTCAGGACTGAAGGACTTACTCCGTGCTGCTGATCTTGTTCCCTGTGTGAAAGTGTTTGAGGTGGAGGAAGTCCAGCAGCACCTGCGGCACGTCTTCATTTTGATAGATGATATCCTGGCCAACAGAGAACAATACAACTTGTAAAATTGTAGTGAAATGGTTTGTCAAGCAAGGTTTCAAAGCTTGTGTTTGTGCAAAAGACATTTTCAATATCAGTGAAAATCATATGTTTAAGATTAAAGTTAATAAAAAATGGCTGATGGCACATAGCTTTTTATTTTTTCATGACCTTTCCTTCAGCCCAAAGTTTAAGAAAAATTCACCCATGTTTTTTTATTAAATCATTCTTCAGCTCCTGTGAGGCTTTGTTCACCTGTAGCTCAACTACTGCTGCTCCAAAACTCTGTAGCACGGGGTTTAACGAAAACTAAACAAAAAGTTTTAGGGTTTTTGTCTCATAGTCTCCCTCTGTCACTTATAGGAATGAAGACATTTTTATGCATTGCATGATCAGATACTTCTGAAATTTAAAGCACTTACTGAGCCCTCTGACTAGAAGGCAACCTGGCCTTAATCCGACAAGTTCTGAAAACGAGTTGTTGGGTCGGGTTCAGGCCATTTTTTTGCCTGAAACTTCAGGTTGCATTATTTTTAAATATAACTTATTACTTATTAAATCTTTCTCTCTGTGACCCTGCCAATCGTCATATATCATGTGTTGAAAGTAGATATGTAATGCCCACTGGGAAGCAGGATGAGAGACTGAGTGTAGCCAGTGCTTGTTGACCAGAGTAGGATGACACTAAAACCATCTATGGTGGATGTGATTGTCTTCCTCCACGAGCATCGTGATCACGCATGTACTCAGTTCAGTTCTGGGCTCTTGTCAAGTTCGACTGGGAAAGATGTTTTGAGTTTACCAGCCACATTCATCTGGCCTCAAGCCTTTTGTCTTTGAAGAAGAAGTATACAGAAGCATAAAATTGTTGACTTGGTCTTGGATCAGATTCCAAATTCAACTGTACCAGGAGGGTTCTGGACTCTGGTCTTTTATTGTAAATGACTCCTACAGGACCTGTCTTGCACAAGGGAAGTTCAGCAGGACAGAGGCTTGCTGCTTAAGGATATCAGATTGAAAGACGAGGGCTGAATCCCATTTATTAGTGCCTGAAGAACACCTGGATGTGTTACCTGGATGTAGTCTTCCAGCTCCTGCCTCCTCTGCTCCAGAGGTTTGGTCCTCAGATGAGGGTTCCTTTTGCTCGGAAAATCTGGAGTCTGGATGATCTTTCTGAGCTGCAGGTACCACAAGATACAACATGAACCTTCGAATCAGACTGTAAGTTCGTGGCAATAATGTACCAAGAAACATAGCACACATACTGTATATATACACATAAATGCATGTATATATGTAACTGTATAGCTTCTTTGGAAATATAATTTAGTTTTCTTTTTTTATTTCTTCCTTTACTGCTACATATATACTTTTATTGTATTTCATTGTTTTATTCTATTTTAATTTAAAATATTTGTTTGTTTGGGCTGCATTATTAAAGCCATAATCAAATTACTTTTTCACCTCTTTCTACACCTACAACTATTGCAACTACAGTTTTCAAGTATAAAGTTTTATAAAACTGTCAGCTTCAAAAGACTGTCCAAGTAACAGGTTGGTTGTAAGTCTTTGGGCGTTCACTTCCAACATGACATCATCATTTCTGTAAAATACGTATATTTACAAATGCAAGTGACCATTGAAGTGAAGCTTTGTTATGTTACACAGAAATGCTCCATCTAACAGCACAACATGCAGCGCTACATACAGTACACGTCACTCAGTGGCACCGTATTAATCATTACTGTGGCTATAATAAGTTACATATACATACTTTCCTGTGGAGGCTCTGGAATTCGCTGCTTCTTCTGAGCACAAAATGTTTCCTTCCATTAAACAAGATTTCAATTCGGAAACGCTGCAAACAAACCAAAGAAGAAGGAGGCACACAGATAATTTACAGTTCTGTCTGTCATTAAGTGAATTAAATGGTTTTCAGGTTGGACATTTAAAGATGAACAGAGGTGTGTCATACTCTTCACCGACGATGAAAATAAACCAAATATAAAAACCAAATCTTTATGTTTTAAACAGACACAAACATTCTGCAATTTGGTCAAATCTTACTTAAATTAGGCTACAATAACAAGACAAAATATAATTCAACACATTTATTAACAAGGTTAAAATATGCTTTCTTTATAGTGTGTATATGTACTGTAATAATAATAATAATAATAATAATAATAAGAAGTACAGTCTAGACCTGCTTTATATGAAAAGTGAGATAACTTCTGTTATGACTGGGCGTTCTACAAATATAACATAACTGAATTAATATTAATAGTTAATTTACCACATTTAAAACATCAGCCCATCAGGTGAAGACAGACATTTGGCAACAGTCAAATATAACCAGTGACACACAGAGCCGGATTTATCTTAAAGTCTGTCATACTTCTGCTGAGTAGATTTCTTTTTGGAAAAATCTGTGTAAAAAATAAATGAAGGAATTAAGATGAAGAGCTTAAATAATAATAATAATAGCAACCATGCCTTGGGGGTCTTACAAACATATTAGTAATTGTTAAAGTACTTAGAGGTTCTCATTTCTCCACCAGGAGGAGGCACAGAGCTTCAGATTTCATTCTCAAGAAGTCAGTGTACTTTCTGATTTCTTATGTGCTTATCCAACATTGATTCTTCATTTTAAAGCATTAATATAATAATCAAGATATTATTTGTAATGTCGAAGGTTTAGTGTACTCACTGTAAACAAATCCCTGCTTTATACACTTTTACATTAACATCTGCTATTTTGAATTAACCGAGCCAAGACCTTAGTGATAAAGTTTTAAACAGTAGAAGAAGTATTCAGATCCTAAACTGAAGTAAAACTACACTACAAGTACAGTCCTGCATTCAAATCCTTACTTAAGCTAAAGTATTTAAGAATTATCAGCATCAAAATGTACTTGGAAGTATCACAAGTAAAAGTACTCATTCTGCAGTAAAATGGTCCATGTCAGTGTTTTACTATTATATCTGTATGTAGATTTGTAGATCTGTTTTTTAGATGAATATTACTGCTGCATTAATGCATATGTGGCATTTTACTGCTGTAAATCTTTAAGATAATGTAAGGTAAGGTAAATGTTTTTTAATTTAGTTTAATCTTTAATTGTTTAAACATTTAGAATGAATTGGATGGCAAAATGTTTTTTTTTTAAATAATTGGGAAATATAGCCACAGGCGGACATTAGTGGTCAAAGTAGCTTTTGTAGAGGACATTGAGCTGGACTTGTGGGTCAAATTTAAAGTCAATTGACTGTGGCCCTTCCAAAATTGCGTCTTGGGGCATTAATTACACCATCTGGCCAATGTGGCTCATGTTTTTGGGGAAACACTTGCACATATTCAGCCCCTGAACCCCAAATAATGAGGAATGACAGCTGAAGAAAAGAAACTGAGTGCTTGAGGGTTTGTGCAGAACAAACTGCAGGACGTCGTCCTCATACAGTTACAGCTTACAACACTTTATCAGTAATGTAAACAAAAGGTAACACAAGTCTAAGATCTTGTGGAGCCTTGTGGCCTCAGACTGAGATAGTAACACCAAACAAAAGGATAGTTCAGCACACTGCAGTCCGTCCTCTACAGCCCGGGTCAGCTGGAGCAAATTCCCCATGCGAGTGTCATATTTAACCATTTTAAAGTGTTGGTGTGAATAGGATTTATTACAAATTCATAACTAGGTGACTATTCTCTGTAAGTCTGACGAGTTTCACTTCAGCCCCGTGCATTTCACTGAGGTTAAAGGAGCATTGCAGGAACCTTCAGTAACACATAAACAGAGTTATAAAACTCAGACACCACATGTGTTCATGTCACCCTTTTCCTTGATATAAACCTTCATGCATGATCACCAAACATGTGGAGCAAATCCACTGTATGTGTCACTTTGCTTTCAAAACAGGGTGCATGTAACATAAAGACAGTAAATTAAAAAGATCTTCCATTGCAGAGTAAACCATTCAGCTCACTAAGCTCAGGGTGTCATTTAATGTACAATGTTAAGCATGTACTGCAGTGTATAATGTCACCAATGTTTTACAGCTTTCTGCATTAATTAATTTGAAAATGAGCAAAGGGAGGAAAAACCTTTCATACAAAGGTCAGTGGTAACTTTATGACATTATATGTATAATTTGATTCATAAATACTTTACTGAAGTATTTACTGAAGTAGTTTTGAAATATTTTCCATAATTATTAATATTATTATTATCTTGTGAGATTGTATTCTTTAGATGGTTATTATCTGGTGAATGTACTATTTTGGTTCACTGCTTCTGTAAACTACTCAGCAGTGTACTTGTTATTGAAGAACTACTGTTACTGTTACTATAAGTAAAAAGAATACTTCTTCCACCATAAAATAAGACTTTGAGCACTTGGTTTCCTCCTCATGCTCACACACATGCCTGAAGGTGTGTGGGCATCACTGAGGTCAAGAGTACTTGTAATCCACTAGATTTCAGAATAAAATATTGTACTTTTCTACTCCATTACTCTGACAGTTAGAGTTAGTAGTTACTGTAATGTTATAAGATCCAATCATATAACAGTGACGCATCGTTTTGCATTTACTTTTGTTATTTGAAGTACACATTGCTGCCACTGCTTCTGCACTTTACTTAGAACTGTGAATGAAGGATTTATTACTCGTAATGTAGTATTGCTACTATTATGGCTACTTCTGAATACTTATCCAACCAGTTACTTTTGCTTTAGAGTCAAATACAAAGATTTGTGGAGATAAATCGAAAGAGAACCTGCGCTGCTCTCACTTTCCCTCTTCCTTACCTGGCTCACCTGTCGGCACACCTTTACTGCCACACTGTAAACATGCGCTGTAGGCTCTAACAATACAGCAAACAGTCACCATGGAGGAATAACGATAACTTTAAGTGTTTTTTACGCTGTCGAGACAAGTTTAGAAGAGTTAGACTGACAAAAGATCACGCAGCGTGCTCACCTTTTTGGACTTTCCCGACTCATCCACTTCCCTCTCCATCGAAGGTATCGATACTTCAATCATCGGGAAATCTTCCACCCACACCATCGGACTGTGTCGGACTGTCTGCGATTAACTTTTCACTTAACTGAGTATAAACTGAGAAGTAAGCTCACACTGGGTTTTTCTCCTCGTCCAGGAACTGGGGAACAAAAGTGTCGGTGTTGTCGCTCTCGGTTTCCTCCTGTGCTCCACCTACACACTAATTGGACGAGCCCAACTCATCCAGGCACATTAAAGGTGCAGTCCGAAATATGGGAATAAAAGAGTTTAGTGCACATAAACGACACAAGAGTTTGTTTTCTGGATGTGTGACGCTTAGTGGGCGGAGAGCATGCTGGCAATCTGTGTCTGAAGGTTTGATATCACTGAGCTGCTGGTTGGCATCCACACTGAAGCTGTGCCATGTTTTAATGTCAAACCTTTATGTGCTGTCACATTGTTTTGTTTTTACACTGGTGGGTTTTATTTTATATTTTTTACTTTTACCTCAGACACAGAACAGAAAGAAAAAACATTTTCATTATTTTGATTTTACATATGTTACTTTTTCAATGTTCTATAAATGTTAGGCCTTTTAGCTTTGTTTTGGTCTCCATCAACTCCTGAGAAACATATGTGGCTCTTTAGCTGCTAAATGCTCCACTAAGGTTCTGAACAGGTAGTGTTAACGTAAGAGTGAAGCAAATCAATAAAGTTTTTGCCCATAAAACCAAAAAAACATAAAACGAGCTGAAAGGCACTAAAATGCTTTGTAGAACTGATGGGAACTGCAGAGATTATCATAATTATTCCGATAAGTGGGTTTAAAACCAACAGCTTTCAGACAGCCACATGCAACTTTCAAATCCAGGTTCACTTCCCACTGCACTTGAAACACAAAGTAAAACAAGCACAACTCATTGGATATAAATAGGGATGTAAAGCCAGACCACAAAGCTGTACTCACATCCTCTCACACCCACTGCTCAAAACTTCAAACCAAACTTTGTTTAGTGAGAAAAAAGTAAAAGAAAAAGTTATCGTGCTGCTTTGTATTATTTATATTTATAGATTTTGCACAAGGGCTTCCCTTCTCAGCCATTTCTCCTCTTTCTCCATTAAAATACTACGTACAGCTCATTTTCCACGTGTTGATCTCAACCAGAATCACATGCTCTGTCTGTGACCTGTCATCACAAGATTTATATCTTCCCATTCCTGTTGTTGCTCACTGTGTTTTAATTAAAGCAGACAGAAGAGCTTACTTAAGCAGCTCTAAGAGAGGATATGTGACCTTATAGAGTCATAGATCACAGCAGGGTAAAAATATAACAGTGATTTGCGTGGTCTGCATGTTGTGTCATCACTGCGTTTTACTACGGCTCATGTCCTCCTCTCCCTGTCTGAAGTCCCACCGTCAGCAGACACAAACCACACACATTAACAAAAAGCACCTGTTTGATGTGTCAACAGTTTCTACCTTGAACATAACCTTTGAATAATATTTAAAAATTAAATAACTTTTTGTGTTTTTGTGTTGGATCAGACTTAAAGACCCTCGTCTTCTGTTTTATTTATCCTATGCTTTTATTTTGTCTATTTTCAGTATATTTCAGTGCACTCAATGCGAGTTTAAAGATGTTTACAGGACGACAAGAATTTCACACACAATCAAAGACTGATTTTCATTGGCACACCTGCAAGTCAGTGAATTTCTTAGCTAAAAAAACAGTCTACTTTCCCAGTAGACGTTTTTCACAGCAGCCATTTTGGCATGAAATAGTATCATTGGTACCTCCTGTGTTCATGTCATATTGGCAGTAGAGCTGGTTATTGGTGCCATGATCAGTTAGGTCAGAAACAAGGTTATCTTTATTTAATGGAACAGTTTGACTCCCCGTCGTGCCGAGAGTTGGATGAGAAGATTGATTACTTTAACTCCCCATCGTTCTCCTCCCTGACCTGCAGTTGTCCTCAATGTCTCGCACCCCAGATTCTGTACAGGCCACTTTCTCTCAGCGGTCTTTTGTGATCACCCCTTTTGAATTCTTTGCCCCCCCCAGCTTTGCCCCTTTGTCGAACTGGTACACCTTGTTTTAATTCAATTCGCCTACCTGAGTTGTGCATCCAGTCATCTCTTGTCTGTGAAACTGAACCTTTGCATGTAAGTTGACTTATTTAAAGTTTTAGCTTACATTGAAGTACTTCAAAACTAAAAGTTGTTAACTTTGGTTTTCATTAAACTTGCATTTATCAGGTAAAAATCTTGTATAATTGTCGTCCAGTCGAGCATATGAGCTGTACAATAACATTACAGACTTAAGGAACCCTTGTCACTCGTACTGAAGAGATACATTTATTCAGTGACTGATGAGAAAAAAGCAAGTGAAGTCTCAAAACTAAACGTTTCAACTTGATAATACTTGTTAATGATATTGCAACCTATGAAATGTCTCTTGGAAAGTTCCCATTTCACATATTCAGAAAAAAAAATTGTAGTTTCTACACTCAGGTGATATTAGATGCCAAGATATTCACACAAAGTAATTTCAGGAAATGCCATCCAGTCTGGCATTCTCATTTTCTGGATGTTTTCTGTTTGGCTGATCTGGACATAAACGGAAGTTGTAATTCAATCTTGTGACTCAGATGCATCAATGTGGAAATACTTATGTATTCTGGCATTTGAATTCCCTTCTGAAGCTCTTTTCAGTGGAATGTGAAGGCAAGTTTCAACAACTTCAGCACTGGAGTTTGTCATTTATAGACATACCAGCCGATCTGGGGAGCGTGATGCAATTTGTCGGAGCCAGTGTGTGAATGAAAGGAAGCACTGTCATCCAGAATAACTGAGTTAGCTGACGCATTCTTGAGTTCTGCACACAGTTCAACTGTTTACTGCTTCAGACTGTCATCCAGTGGTTCATACACATATACCAACAAAATATAGACCAACAAAATAATTCCATTATTTTTATAATGGAATAATGATGCATCAGCTGTCTTCCTAAACAACTTTGGTATAAAGTAAATGCTTAATGTGGACTGACTTAAATATGTTTTAAGCTTGCATTGTTTCTTATCTCCTATATAAATCTAATTTAATCAAGTTAATGAATTTGCTCTACCCTGTTTCACCTTAATAATAACCTTATGTTTATCCCCATGCTGTTGGTTTATTAAAGCTTAAACTCTTTCAGAAAATTTTTTTATCTTGATTTTATTTGAGTTTAGGTCTTTGTTAAATGAGTTGTAATTTTGATAAAACACCCTCAAAAATCAGCCATCTGTCTGTCTCTCAAGCAGTCTTTATCAATCTTCTAATTAAGGTCACATCTCCATTTCTCATAAGAAAGTGAGAACAAAAAGGAGGGAAAGAAGTATAAATTACCACCTATTAAATATTCCATTTAATATATTTCAGCTGAACAGCCTAACCAGTGTGTTTGAATACTTTATGATGCACAAAACTCTCCCCGTTGGGGAGTCTGGGGGTCTCCCTAAATCTTGAAAATAAATTAATCACAATTAGTCAAGTGAACTTTATATGGCTTATGGTTAATGGTGTATAATTCCTGCATCTCTTTGAAGACTATTCACATACATTTTAGAAACAGATACATTATGTAAAATATATATATTTGACTTGATTTTTGGACGTGAGTGACAGGATCCCCTCAAGGACTTAACTGTACTTGATAATTCAATCCCTAAAGGCCTTGTTTTGAAGTGAAATTTGAGGAGTCTAAATCTAAGGTCTCTCTACACCCATTGATGTAACAAAAAAATGTGGGTGGTCTATTTTTGTTATGTTCCACAAGGATTTATTGTAATTTTATTTATCCCATGGATTTATTAGGTTGTCTGGTTTATAAAGACATAAACTGAACTGCATGAAACATTAAATGAAATGTTTATTTTTATTTCATGTTTCTCAATTCTAAAGCTTCTTGGAAACTGCAGTGATTGATGTGTACAGTTTACAATACACTACCACTAGTGTACACTACTGTTTTACACTACACTGCTACAATGTTTCTACAGTAACCCAGAACAGGAAAACTAAATACTGATAAAGCCTTTCACCTTTTACACACATATTTTATATATATGTATATATATATATATATTAATAGAGGGATGTAGGACATAATGAGCTGCTTCTGCCAGGAAACGCCTAATTTTCCCTTCTCTCCTCGCTTTTTCCTTGTTTTTTTTGCTCCTTGTCATTTTCTGTTCCCTCCCCACATTTACTTATCTTTTGTTTGCTCCCTCCTTTGTCAATTAGTCTGCATTTTCCCCCTTTTTTCTTCTCTTCTTCTTTTCCTCTTCTCTTTTCTAGTTGTCAGCTTATATACCACTTCCCCTTGCTGTTCCTCAACACTCACGTCAACACAAAGGCACACACACACACACACACACACACACACACACACACACACACACACACACGAATCCTATACAATAGGCTGCCCTGTACCCATATCATTTATCCTAACCCTTGTTTTTGTTTTGTTGTTTTGTTTTTTCAGTCACACAACATGTAAAGTCTGTCTTGTTTCATTTAATCTCACAAAATAAATCTTATACCTCTCCAGTCCCAAGAACTTTTGCTGAGACAAAGGATTGAACATTAACAGGAACTGTTACCTGTGCTGACTGTGTGCTGCCGTCCTCTCCTCTCTTCTTTTGACCTTTTCTGGTGTTTACAGTACTCTCTGCATAGTCAGTGTTACGACCTCAGATGTAAGGTCCGGGGGTTAGAGGAGCAACAATTAATAATTAACCCAGGGTTAAAAAAGGACAGGAAAACAGAATTATGTGTACTAACAAAACTATTTATTAAACGTTTTAATCATAAATGAAGAGTTCAAGATTAACAAAAAACTACTTCCTTAAAAAATAGAAAGTGAAAATAACTATTTTAACAAAAAGCATGAATTAAACAAACCACACACTAATTCAACAAATAAACACCAATGTCACTCTCCCTCCACTGACAGAGTAATGAAAGTAGTACAGGTATGCACAAACAGCATACAGCACCACACAGCTATCAGGCAGTTTGGCCCAGTGGTCTTGTCTGCTTCTGCTGTCCTTGTTTTAAAGCCGTTGGAATGATTGCTAAACTAATGCAGGTGCGCCTGACCAGTCGGAGGGGAGGGTTGTACCTGGAAAAGGGCACACAGAACAGAGGCAAAACAAAACACCACACTATACTCGTAACAGTCAGCCATCTCATTTTCCATTTAGGTCAAAGAAAGAGTCATAGATGTCCCAGATAGCAGCAATTGTGCCTCTGGACATGAGAGAATTTCAACTCAATGTCCACTTTGAAAAACTGAACCACACTGGCTCTATATAGCAGAAACTTGTTGGACTGTGAGGACTGTCTGAGGTTCAAAAGCCAACTATAACAATTCTGAGCTGATAACAATTGATGTGTGTTTCTTTCCACTAAAACTTTATCATGTGACATCAACTCCAAAATACTGCCAGCAAACTTTAGCTGCTGTCTTTAGAGACTTAAATTTGGACTTTGACATGTGTTTAATTATTGATGAGGTTTCATTGTCAGACAAAAGATTTGAGTTGGAGTGAATTAAAACAATAAATTGACCTACCCACTATTCCTATTGATGAAGTCTTACTGCTATTTAAAAAATAAACATTACCAAAAACAGTACCCAAAAAGTAAAATTAAGCCTTTTCACATTCAGGAAGTACCACTTCAAGTGGAGTATACTTTACTTACTTTAGTAAGTACTTGTACTGGAGTACTTCTACTCCACTACATTTGAGAGGCAAATAATCTAGTTTTTACTCCACAACATTTATATGACAGCTTTAACTCTAGTTATTTGCAGTTTCTGATTATTTGTAAGAAATATAATCAGAAAATAAATCCTAATTATTAGTATTATCATGGATTAAGCTATCCACAGTAGTTAAAACTGGCCCCGTCTTTACTAGCTGCAAAATTGAAGGGATGCTTACACATGAATGCATTCATCAGTAACTATAATCTAATAATATATACTGTCATTCTGCATAATCAGTGCTTTTACTTTGGTACTTTCAGTATATTCTCATGCTAATACTTCGGTACTTTTACACAGGTACATTTTGAATGCATGACTTTTACAAGTTACGAGTTATTTCTGCACTGTTGCTACTTTTACTTTTAAGTGAAGGTTATTTTTGAATATCTCTTCCATCACTTTACTTAGCCTGTTTACTGTAGATTAAGGACTTACACCAGAAGTTGTTTTGTTTGTGAACCCCTGACTGAGTTATTGATTGCTCCAGAAGATCTAGGAGAAAGCAATATAACAGATCAACAGGCTGTAAGCCACTATCCAAAGTACTTCGTCCTGAGTTAAAACTAGAACTGTTGAAAAACTGAACTTAAGCACCAGTCTTCTTCTCTTTCCCACAGGGGTACACGTTTTTGTGTTGTGCATGCCCTCCTTACAGTAAAGAAAAACACGTCTGCATGTATATTATTGGCCAGCTAACTTTTTTTTTTAATCTCCCAAGGGCTCCTAAGCAATGTTAACTCCAGATTGCCATGGCAACGCGAAGGCCTTCCCGCCAACAGCCTGTGTTGCCGGGAACAGAAAAACAGAAATCTTGACATTGAAGTGCGAGCTACAGATGAGTTCTTTTTAATAAGACATGAGCTCCCCTGAAAACATGATCTGTCCCTAAAATATTGACAACATGCCATTTTTGCCAGACATATCTATTTCCCTAAATTTTCATAATCAGGGATTATGGGTAAACTTGGGCTACAAATGATCTATGATTTGTGCATGAGGGTGATTCATCACTGATTCAATATCATTATCATTAACTTCAGATCAGAAAATATACCTAAAATAAACTTTCGTAGTTTATCTATAGGCTGTAGCCTATGTTTTCGGTTTTATGGCAGCGTATGCATCACTGAAACTGACTATGGGCTCGTATAGCTCCAGTCTCTCAATACAGTAGCCTACAGCAGTTTGAATAGAGACCTACTGTAGAGTCATATTACCAGAGCATGAACATTACCATTGTCTGTTTTAACAAATGTTTTAGCACAGGTACAAAAACAATAATATGAAACATGAAAATGCCTGTTGCTACATGCCAGTGGTTCCCAACCTTTTTCCTTAAGGGACCCCACAAATAAAAAGTGTTTTGGATGAATAGTGAGCAGATAATTTCCCATGAATATTGATCAGAGCTGAGTTTTCCTGATATTTTAAGTAACTTTTTATACAATTATCTGTCTGTAGTATGTATTTATTTTTTAATTTGCTTTAGCAATTATACATACTTATAGCCTTTTTTCCCTGTGTTTTCTTGTCATTGTTCTATTAGCTCTTTGGATGTTTAATTGTACTTTCTAATTCAGAAATAGGCTGTTTATCAGTGAGTGAAAGCTTGTGTTAAGGTCTTCAAAGTTTACATATTAAATAATAATCTCAACTTTAAAAATAACAATTCAATTTAGTTTTCTTCACAGAAATCGACAAAATGCTGAGATATTGGCTTACTGTGTATATTTTTTAAGTTGCATACATCCTTTAAACTTAAAGAAAGCCTTGCAACCCCCTGTCAAGCTCTGGCAACCCAAGGTTGGGAACCACTACTTCATACTATGTCTGAGTGAGGGAGGTTCATGGCTGAAGCTGAGAAGATTAGCGCATTTAGCCTATTTATCCACTAGGTGGCAGTAAATGAGTGAGATGCTTCAACTATTATTAAATGACTACTACAGCTCACCACTATGAATATATCACTACCACTACTACTATTGCTTTTAGTTATACTAAAACTGCAACAAATACTGCTGCCTGTGTTTCAAATAAAATAATATATATAATAATAATCCTCACCATACAATGCTACCCACAAACCATAATACACATAAAGTGTTTTGTAATGAAACTTATAATAAACCTAAACAAAAAAAGCTTTAGCAAAAGTAATTTTCTATTTACGTTTGTCGATTTATGTAGATAATTTGGGACTAAAACTTTTAGTTTTATTTATTATATGAGTGAATTATCGCATTCGAAAACAAATAGGAAATACAGATAGTAACTTTAAATGTAATAAGAAATAACAGTGACGATCCCATACTACAGACACACTTTTGTTCACAATTCCACCAGACCACCAGAAGTGACACAGACTAACGTGCATAGGGAATCAGTTCAGAGTAGGAGACAAGGGGACAAAAAATAATAATCTGGGTGGATTGATATGATGTGGAAAAACTTCTGGTCAGTCTTCACTTTGATGAATAATCTTGATGAGTTACATTCATTACTTGAATATATAATACAATTACAACACAAATCTGACGCCAGAGAAGATCTTGGTGCTGCATGAATGCATGGACACAGTCAAATACCAAAAGCTTAAACTAACATTACATTCACTCAGCACCGTCTCAGCTTTATACAGCATGTCTCACATCGGAGGCAAAACAATGTGGGTAGCCCTCAGTCAATGTCATTTAAATCAATATAATCAGGGCAGTCCGGGACATCTCCAAGGTCCCATCTTATCTTTAAATCCAGACAGCCGAGCCTCCCAACATAAAGCACACCAAGTGTGAAGGCCTAGGAGGCCTCACAGGTTAAGGTTAGTGCATAAGTGAGACATTCCTTTATATCCATACATTTCTACCACAGATAGCCAATGTTTACTAAACTACCAATACAAAGTCTTGTTTCGAGTATTGATACAAGCATCGATAGATTGATATAAAACAAAGTCTCTTAGATGACAGTCTGGGACCATGAACACATCCACTCTTTGTTTCTCTGCTGCTGTCATGTGCAGGACGTCCTTATTTCACTGCCTTACATTTATTTCAGTTAGTTGCTTTGCAGATTTAGATTATTTATACAAAATATCAACTAATGAATTATGATATATTATTATGTATTAAGATACACTGCAGTATAGGGTTAATAAAATGAACTCCTTTGCCACCATTACCAGCTGCAACATTAAAGTGATGTACACATTAATGGATCCCTAATTATTATCCAGTAATATAACAGTTTCTATATGTTAATAAGATAATATATTCCTTTATCTATCCCCCTTAGGAGAAATTCAGGTTGACACAGCAGCAATAGGGCAAAGTAGTGCAAAAACAGAGAACAAAGAATATCACAATAAAAATATTACTAATATTATTCATATTGGAAGATATAAAACAAAAATTAAAGTATATACACTATGCATTGTTCAAGTAAGACATGGAGTGCAAAATATAAGCAGAAAATTAAACTTGACTAAAACTACTAAACTACTGGAAGTGTAAATTAAATATAAATAGTGCAAAAGGCTTGTGCGTCTCTGTCTGCGGGGGTCTGGAGGAACTGGGAGCTGTGTGCTAACACTTTTGTAGTTTTTCTTAATATTTTGAATGCAGGACTTTTACTTGTAACAGAGTATTTTTACACTGTACTGCTACTTTGAAAACAGAAATAAAAAATATAATAAATAAAGCTACTACTTGATACCCACAGTACCTGTGGGGCATAAAAACTGGAACGAACCAACGCGTTAAAACACTTCCGGGTTTCAGAACGACAGTCACGTCACCCCCGAGCGTCATCCCCTCCCCTCCTCCTCCCCTCCTCCTCCCCCCTCCTCCCCCCCTCTGCACCGAGCATCCCAGAGATAACGGCCGAGTGTCTGTGCGCCTTTAAGAGCCGTATATATCCCGCTGCCCTCTGCACTAAATCTCCATCGCTGCTGTGTGAGGGGGAGAGAAGAAACAGAAAGCCACGGCAATGTCCGCCAGCTCTGCTTTCAACGATGAGAAGGGGGGCTCGTCCAGTGTCGGGGAGCCTGAATATGGTCACGACCCGGCGAGCGGAGGGATTTTTTCCTCCGACTACAAAAGGTACAGAGCCACCTGCCTCGGTGCCGCTTGACGCCGATGTAATTTGCCATATTGTAGGGGGGGTATACCGGGGCAGCTAATGGCGGGGGAGGTGCAGTATGGATGTGTTTTCCTGTCTCTCCGGACGCATAGGAAGTGTATTTAAATGTAAGGAGACGGAAGGAAACACAGAAGCCTTCAAAGTGAACTTTCTTGGCTGTTAGGCCCGTGATTTAAAAGCGGTGTCTGCTTTTTTTCTGGCCGTGAACGTCTCACCGTGATTTGGTCGCTCGAGCAGCGCGCAGATGGTGAAATAATGGTCCAGTTTAGGCGCTGGGCTTTCATTATATGTACATTGAGTGGCGTGTGTTTGATAGCAGCGAGGTTCCGGGTGTTTATATTGGCATGTTTGTGAGGTGAGAAGTGAAAGGCCTGTCAGAGGGGATGCCAGGCCTCAGCTCCAAGCTTTTCAGCACCACCCCTGGTGGACAGCGCGCACACAGGCGGCGGATACACACATACACACATACACTGATACACACATACACTGATACACACATACACTGATACACACATACACACATACACTGATACACACATACACTGATACACACATACACACATACACTGATACACTGATACACACATACACACATACACTGATACACACATACACTGATACACACATACACACATACACTGATACACAGATACACACATACACACATACACTGATACACTGATACACTGATACACACATACACACATACACACATACACTGATACACTGATACACACATACACACATACACTGATACACAGATACACACATACACTGATACACTGATACACACATACACACATACACTGATACACAGATACACACATACACTGATACACACATACACACATACACTGATACACACATACACTGATACACACATACACACATACACTGATACACACATACACTGATACACACATACACACATACACAGATACACACATACACAGATACACACACACACACACACACACACACACACACACACACACACACACGGGTATCTACAGTCAGCCAGAATAGGTTAATTAGTCATTCACTGTTGTCTGAGTTTGTCTTTGCTCTTATTCAGGGTCCCAGTTGTGTCTTGTCTATAGGCCTACAGTACAGTGGCTGCACAAACACAACAATGATAATAATAACAACAATAAAGGCTTCAACTAACCTCTAATGTCATTATTGATTAATCTGGTCAATATTTTGTTAGTAATCTGTAAATTGTTTGGTCTTTAAATGTGGAGAAAAAGTAAAAAAGTTCCCACAACCAAAGATAATATGATCATTTAAAATGTTTGTTTTGTTCAAACAACATAACCAACACTGGATCTTTGAAGCCAATACTAATCTCATAGTGATAAATTGGCAGATAGTGATTTTCCTTTTTAAACAATCACACAACAGTAACAAACAACCTTTATGCGGATCACTTAGACTTGTTTTATTTAAAGAATTGTGTTCAAAGATATGTTCTGAATGGGACATTTTACAGTTGAAAACTCATGTGTTTGTGCTCGCTGGAACTATTTAATGGAGACATGTTTCTAAATCACCTCAAACACAGAATGGCATTCCTGTACTACAGTTTCTTCTAATAATATTGGCTATATATATATTTATAAATATATATATTGGCCTGGCTCTATTCTTAATCCTAAAATATTCAGTTTACTATCTTATAATGGAAACAAACAAACAAAACAGCAAACCGTCACAGTTGAGTGTCTGGAACCAGCATTTTTCTGTAAAAAGTTACTTCAATCAACTAATCAATTAATAGCTCTAATCATTTTAATAATGATAATTTAAGATCAGTACTTGAGGGGCATAGCAAATATCACACTGACATACATTTATAGCGCCATTAAACATGCAGCCTATCATGTCTCCTTGAAAAATCTAAAATCTGTTAAATCTTTTGAAATTATAACCACCAGAAATAATTCTCAAATGTCCATATGTACATTTAAAGATTTATTGGTTTTCTGGGGACATGACTGCAGTTTACACTTTGACGTGTGAGCTTTTAAAGCAAAGGTGCACTGATCAAGAACAGATCAATTATTCATTAGAGCAGGAACACAACGTTAACAAACTGCACCGACAGCTTTCTCAATGTAGAGGCAAACTTGTGCACAGGAATAATTTGTTCTTCCAGGAACAATATACACAAAGATACATCAAGATACAGAAAGGTGTTGATGGACATGATGCTATTTTAATGAAGAACTGATTTTGATTTAGTCTCATAAAACAAGAATCTTCTGAATTCTTAAGCGCCCCATGAAAGAGTCATTTGGTGTAAACATGGCTATTATATTAGATAATAAATGGCATATGTAGTTTATAGAACAGAGGCAAGCTAACCTAGGCTCAGTTTACACATTTTATTGGATTTATTATTAATTTACAGCTGGCACAGAGTTTTAGGATGTAAACTAATTATGGGCTGACAAGAGAAAGCGTTGTTGATTATATTTTCATTGGCATATGATGACATTAGGGATAACATCTGAGACAATAATGGGGCTGAGGGTCCAGCCAGCCGCCACAAGTTGGACCTTTACTAGAGCAGCTTTTGTACACAAACATTTAGAGGAATAATGAAGTTATTACAGCCAGAGAGTTTTTTCAGCGCAACAGTTACGCCATAGGCCATGTTTTACAGCAGACATTTTCACTTGACTTTATCCGTAATTCATTAGATTATTTACACCTGTGCTTTTTCTTCTGTGACATGTCGAAATGTATTCTGTGAAAAAGGCATTGAAAAAATGTATCCGGTACACTGGACTGCATGCTTTGATCAGATACTATTGTAACATATTAGTATTGTACAGTTTGGGTACATTGTTGACATACCAGAGCTGTTGTGTTACTGACAGATGTTTAAGGCCCTGCACACCCACACAAGGGTTCATTAGACCTTTTGCTCTGGTTGAATGAACTTTAGCCTTGTAGAGTTTTGTGTATCTGTGTCTGCTTTCATCTCGCCTTGTTTTGTTTTACACCTGTTCTCTATGCATGTATCTCAGTTTGGGAACATGTCTAATTGTTTTATTGCCCCCAACGGCTCCACTGAAACTGCTAATGAAAGTGTGCAGAAAAAGCAGTAGCATCACCAGCTCTTTTCACTAATAGATACCACTGCTTCACCGTAACTCCCCAGCAGAGGGAGCTCATTGTTCATAGACGATGGATTGCATTTGTGCATGTGAACTGTGACCTTTCGATCTGGAGGAGGAGATTTTGCCTTGAGGCTCTTTGGCAAACCTTAGTCGTTAGTTTTAAATGTCTTGTGATTAAATTCTGCCTTGATTAGTTGATTGAAGTGTATTCTGGGCCTTTGTTGCCATGTAGATCTGTGTTTGCAGAAGTCGATGTCTCCTCAGTGAAGGTAGATCAACTGGTTTGTCTGTAAACATTGCAGTGAAAGCGCTGACTCGACCTTCACTGCTGTCTCCTTGGAAACACGGCAGATGTGAAATGTTGCTTCAGTTCCCAAACCATGTTAATCTTGTTGTTAATACTCAAAAATAACTGTCCCTCAGCATGAAATTACTGTTTTAAGTTTAATACAGGTTTTTCATTTTTGACCAGCTCCTGAGATTACATGAAAATGCACAAAAATAATCTTAAAGAAATAATAATAACTTGAAGATCTGAACTTCTTCCATATACAGTTTTAGTGTAGGATACATTTAATTCTCAATACATAAAATCAAATGTCATAGTAATTTAGTTTTGTATTTTACATGAGATGGTTTGTGACTGGTGTAAATGTTTGTTCTTTTGTGAACAACATATTTTGTTTTGGGATTTCTTTGCCCCTCAAAAAAAGTTGATTAGAGTCATTTTTTAAATGAGTTGTTTTTCACATTCTTGTCAAGCATTGTTACATGAGTTGTTTAGCTTAGCTGAAAGCCTGGAAACGGGAAACTGCTAGCCTGAAAAAGTGTATTTTGTATTTCCCGAATGGCAAACTATTGTTGTTACCGTGAAGTTGCTAGGCAACCAGCAGAGGAAGTCACTGCACCCAGCCAATAAGTAGTTCGGCACATAACAACCGGAAAATCACAAATTGTTGTTTTTATACTTAAGATTTTATACAAATATTAAACAAATGAGATGTAACATGTTTATTAATGAGCTTTACAGCTGTTGGTGTTTCCTTTTAGACAGAGTCAGGCTAGCTGTTTCTCCCTGTTTCCACTCTTTATGCTAAGCTAATGTGACCGGCTGCAGGATTTAGCCTTTCATTTAGCATGCAGACATAAAAGTGGAGTCAGTCAACTATTCCTTTGAAAAAACATGCCTGCATCAGGATTTTAAAAACCATTAAAGATAACACATTAAAGCTAAAAGGCTTAATTTTAAGTGTAGTCCCAGTAGGGGATGAATATGAATTATCCAGCTTCAGGACTTATACATGCTAGAGTTTATTAATTCATGAAAGCATTCATGTTCTTTCTGAGATACCCTGTTACTGTAAGCCTCTTTCATTTAGCGAATATGATACAGCTGCACTCCACCCAAAATCTGACATAAAAGTTTTGAGAAAAAGAGGAGAAAAAAAACAAGCTTTTAAAAATAGTCGGCAGCAGCAGGCTTTTGTTGTCTGAATGATTAGAGATTTACAGAACTGGATCTTCTCAGGATGTTTTAAATAATGACTGTGATGTTTTTTCATTTTTATGCTGTTATAGGGAGACTATTTAGACTAGTTTTTTTAAAGTCATGTTGTTCTAAAATTGAGATCAAAGACTTCAGTTTTTCAAAAATACTTTCTAAAGCAACTGCAGGAAGAAATTCTCTCTGTTTTATATCCAACATAGCATTAATCTATATTGTCACGGTCAATGTAGTGCTCTGAATGCTGCAGCCCCGGGGTGTATTTCCTGGTGACATCACAGGTTAAACATCTTATTAGTCTTTAGCAAATTTCAGCAAATCCTGACTG